CATATTCATTTGTCTCTTGGGTACACCTATATATCCTCTATGTCCTTTCCAGTGTTGGTCCTTCTGAATGGACATGCTGTCTGCTTTTCTCCCTTTCTCTGCCAATTCTTAGCCTCTGTAAAGCTATGTGGAGTAGGAAAAAATAATAATCTCAGAGTTGGAGAAGAATTTGAAAAGAAGCACAGGGGGTCCGATGGACTTTCAGTCCTAACATAACTGTGAAAGAATGTTTTTCCTGCCTTAGTGCTCACAGTTATCCCAGATTTCAGCAGCACCTGCCTGCCACCCTTGGAGAAGTAGCTAATGCCCAGGTTATCAACCCTGAGTTGTTGCGTGTCTTATTTAAAAGTGGGACAAATATCTAAAAGTTGAGGATGTGCTAATGTTTTTTTCATGGAGCATTTTCTTCTGATTCTTTTCTGTGACAGTTCTAAGGTAGTAGAACAGAGTCCAATGAGTAGAAGTTCCAAGGGACAGATTTCTTTCTTTTTTTAAGATTGGGGTCTTGCTATATTGTCTGGGCTGGTCTTGAATCCTGACCTCAAGCAATCCTCCCACCTCAGCCTCCCTCGTAGCTGGAGCTCCAGGAATAAACCACTGTGCCTGCCTACCAAGGGGACAGATTAACAGATTTTTATTCATTTCACAAACAAAACAAAATTTTGAACACAGCTTTCCAACGATGAAGACTAGAGTTGACTATATGTGTTCAAGCCTAACCTGGGTGGCTTCTTATAGAATGGGTTTGGGTAGCCAATGGGATTTAAACCTCAAGATTCTGATATTTGCCAGGTGTAGTGGCTTGCACTTATAATCCCAGTACTTTGGGAGGCACAGGCAAGAGGATTGCCTTAGTCCAGTGGTTCGAGACCAGCCTGGGCAACTTGGCGAGACCTCATCTCTACAATAAATCAAAAATAAGCCGAGAGTGGTAGCACACGCCTGTAGTTCCAGCTACTTGGAAGGCTGAGGTGGAAGGATCACCTAAGCCCAGCAGTTGAAGCTGAGGTGGCTGTGAGCATGCCACAGAACTCCAGCCTGGGCAACAGAGTGTGACTCCTACTCAAAAAAAAAAAAAAAAAAAAGATTCTGTTATTTGATGATTGCTTATCAAGATGTCTAGACTAGAAATATAGTCAGGAATAAATTATGACCCATGATTTTATATGGAATTATACCTAAAATAAACTTACATGCTTCTTTCAGATAACAGATAGCACATTAATACAATTTTCTATACACTGTCCTCGACTTCAAGTATTGGTGAGTTTGACTTTCAAAGTTTTGTGTGTTTATTGGATTTAATCGGAAGCGAGTGCTGTAGTTAAAGAACTCAGCTCTTACTTTCTTCTTAGTGTCAGGCTACCACTTTAGGAAAGGATGCTTGTCTAAATTGCCTTCTTACTAAGGACCAAGTGAGGACCTGAGTGAAATGGCAGACTGAGATAGATAGAAACTGGAAAAGCTGAATGTTTTCTGTATCTATGTTTGGAGGTCAAAAACTGACACGAAGAGTATGAGTTCTCGCTCCCAGATGACTTACACTCCATCCTGAATGAAGTTTACATTTCCCAAGATCCAGGGAATGAGATGGCCTAAAATACAATGTGCTTCTTCTTGGAACCACATATTCTTATAAAACAGAAGCAGTCAAGGTTTTCTTAGGGAGAGTTCTTGCTACTACTTTCAGTGATGCTGTAGGAAGGCATTCTGGTTGACACTTCTGTATCTAGGCTCACTTTTGGTGGAAGTACTTTTCTCACAGAACTATTCAAAACTGAGTCAAGAGTTCCGAGTTTCCCAGAATAAGGGTTTACAGGTAAATTGATGAAGAGATTATGTGATGAGATGATCACACCTGACAGCTATAAAGATTGTCTTCAGTTAGTTAATTGTTGGGGCATGCCCTTGTACCAAATATTCAATATTTAGTTCAAATTCCAGAAAACTCTACGAAAAGCTTGATCCCCACTTGTCCCTGTAGAGAAGAAAAGTGTTAATTTGAGATACGGGTAATTTTAAAGACTGCCTTCTTTGTTTGTGAACTAGTTCAAAGTCATTATGTTAATTTATAAAATGTATTTAGAGTCCTACACATGAAAGCATCAATTATTGATTGCCAAAAGCATAAACTCAGCAACTCTAGTGTGTTTTCTTCGTTTCACCCTACGGATCTAGTGATGGCTCTATTTGCATCAAAATCAAACACTGAAAGGTCTTCTTTCTGGTTTTACATAAGCCTTTGGCTAGAGGAATGCCAGAAGACATTTCAGCTTGCTTCCTTGTTCTATTTGGCTGCAGAGTCTGTCTCACTGTGAGCTGACCACAGACGATGGAATTCATTACCTGGGGAATGGAGCCTGCGCCCATGACCAGTTGGAGGTGATTGAGCTGGACAACTGCCCACTAATCACAGATGCATCCCTGGAGCACTTGAAGAGCTGTCACAGCCTGGAGTGGACAGAACTCTATGACTGCCAGCAAATCACGCGGGCTGGAATCAAAAGACTCAGGGTAAAGATGGCTGCATAATTCTCCAGCTCTGGTGTTTTCTTTTCTTCTTTTTCTTTTCTTCTTTCTTCTTTTTTTTTTCTTTCAGATTTAGATTCCTGTGATATTTATATTTACTTGGACATTTAGCAGGGAAAAAACACAGGGCAAATGTAAGGGTAGATGGTTTTATCCTGTGGTTCCAGATGGAAATTTGGTGGCAAAGTACCCACAAAGGGAAGTGAGAGACCCAAGAAATCAAGAAACTTAAAAATCATACTTGCTGTAAAAGTAGTGTTTAGTTCACTATATTTTATATATCCCTACCTCATGTTCCTTGTACTTTATGAAATCTTAGTACTTTAAATCCTACCTCAGACCCCATAGAATTAGGCATATGTCGGGTGCCGGGTAGCGACTGATTGTGTAATTATATAATGTCTTAAGTAGTGTTTGTATTTAGAACTCTTGGGTTAAGCATTGTTAGTCCCAATTGCCATGCTGACTTCTGCTTTTACAACGGGATGTAAATGTTAAAGCGATAAGCCCCTTTCAGACATTCCTTTGCTGCAGACTTGGAGACGCTAGTAATCTGCCTGCTTGCTCAGGTTAATTTATATGCAGTGACTGTATGAACCTACTTATCTGACATTCCACTCTGCCCGTTGGGTGGGTTTCTGTCAATCACGGGCAGTCAGGTTGAAGCCCACGAAAGGCACCTACCAATACCAAGTGTTCCCGTACCCATTAGGAGAGATTACCCAATCATGTAAAACCAAGTTTAGAGTTCTTTCCCCTCCTTCTGTAATGGTGTATAAAGACTGCTTGCCATGCTGGATTGGGGCTCTTGTCCCTGAAGCCACAGCCGGCTTCGTTCGTGAGCCCAGACTCGAGCCTGAATAAAGACCCTTGTGTGTTTGCATCAGAGTTGGCTCTTTGGTGGTCTCTCGGATTTTGAAATTTGGGTTTAACAGAAGAAAAGTAGGTCTCCTCCCAGCAGTCTCTCTCCAATAATGTCCAGGACTTAATAACAACCCAGAGTACACCACATTTTGGTTCTAAAGGAAAGAAAGGAGTAACATAAAATATTTGGTAAAATAAGATTTAAGAATTAATTTAACTTGCATTTTCTTTTCACATTAAACCCTTTTCCTAGAGTTATTTTTTAAGATAACAAATAAACAGAAGTATATTTTTTTCTTTTCCTTTGCTTCATCCACCATAATAAAGAGCCCCATGTGTAGCCAAATGATTAGAAGACAGGTTGTCAGCAAAGAAGTTATAAAAAGCTGGATGAATCTTTATGTTAGATTATTCCGGCCAGGCTCGGTGGCTCAGCCTGTAATCCCAGCACTTTGGGAGGCTGAGGTGAGTGGATTGCCTGAGCTTTTGGGTTCGAGATCCACCCGGCCAACTTGGTGAGACCTTGTCTCTATAATAAATCAAAAATTAGCCGGGCGTGGTAGCGTGCACCTGTAATTCCAGCTATTTGGAAGGCCGAGGCGGAAGGTCGAGGCTGCGGTGGCGGGGAGTGTGCCACTGCATTCCAGTCTGGGCAACAGAGTGAGACTCCAACTCAGAAAAAACAAAAAACAAAAACAAACAAACAAAAAGATTATTCCGTTCAACAGACATCGATTGGAACATCTGCTTCACACTTGCTGTAGGAAGACACTGTGCTTAGTTAGGCCCTTACCACCAGCCACTACAAAATCTATGTTGGCCTTATGGCCTTGAACAAATAAAAGAATACTAAAACTCATCTTGGGTTCCATTTGCCCTCAGTTCCTCCTTCCCCTTCAGTCATAGAGGACTGAGAGAATAACTGCACTGGGGAAGCCTTTGCAGCCATATTTCTTCTCCACCGAAAGAGAAGGCGAGCCACAGGTCAGCTACAGCCTCTTTTCTAGCTTACTCACACCAGGGCTCCTGGGCCTGCCTGGCTGTCAGGAATCTTGTACATCTTTTAATCCTTGGAAGATGGATCTGTTATATGTTCTTAAGTCACTTGGCACTTTCCCACTTTAGCTATTTATATGCATGTCTAGACTCCAAGCACCCAAGAGCAGGGTCCCCATCCTGATCACCTCTGTACCTCTCTCACTTAGCAGCTAACACACTGCATTGAACACAGAAAGAATTCAGAAATAATTAGTTTGTTGTTAAAAGAGGATGATGAGTGATTTTGTTTTTTTGTTTTTGTCTACTATTAGGATAAAAGAAAACATTGTTCCCAGTGACTCAAAAAAATAATTTTAAACGTACATAGCTTCTTCCTACTATAAGAATCCACCTGGGGATTTCTTGAAGCAAGATAAGAAATTGGTTGATATTTTCCTCCAGTTTTGCTATTATGGAAATAGGTACCATAGTTAGAATTGTTCTGGTCATTTGGAGCAACCTAGGATGGAACAAAGCGGAACCCCAGGCCTTCCAGCAACCTGAGCAGTGCTCAGCATCTGCCCTGCTTTCATGTTTGTTCAGCCCCTTGGTGGTTTTTCTGAGAAGCACATTGCTTTTTCTGTTTACGCCCTCTCTCTTAGTAATGTTTTTGTCTTGTTTCAGACCCATTTACCCAATATTAAAGTCCACGCCTACTTCGCACCTGTCACTCCACCCCCATCAGTAGGGGGCAGCAGACAGCGCTTCTGCAGATGCTGCATCATCCTATGACAATGGAGGTGGTCAACCTTGGTGAACTGAGTATTTAATGACACTTCTAGAGTTCCCGTGGAGTCTCTCCAGTGGAAGCTATCCCAGTGTTCTGGGCAAGGGTTACAAAGTGAGGGCAGTATCCAGATCCCCAGAGCCGCACATACTTACGCATACATACCCTCACCCCATCCACTCCAGCTCTGTGATTTTGGGAGTGAAGTTCGTGCTGGCTTTACCAAGTGGATTGGTAAAACTTAACCATTCCTGTTGGAGGCGCCCAGAAGAAAATTGTAGGCCAAGACAGCGGGAGGGGGCATTCCAGCAAACCCAGTGTTACTGCTACTGTGGTTTTTTTGCTTTTGTTTTTGTTTGTTTTTGTTTTTTCTCTAATTTTTTGTCAAGAGCTTTCTTTGGGGATTTTGGAACAGCAGTTGCAGTCCTCCAGGGTCAAGAAAAGCATGGAAAAACAATATATGGTGTACCTAGGGACCAGAAAGAAAGTTTCTCTGCATCCTAGAAATGGTAGTCATCCATTGTGACTACAGAGCTTCTGTGCTTCCTTGTTTCCATGCCAACATGCTGAGCATGCTCACAAAGAAGGCTCATCCATTCCTCATGTGTGTTAGCATTTGGCCCAGAGGTTTCCTAAATGGTTGCATTGAAATCGCTGAGGTCCAAATGAGATTACTTCCTCACTCATGGCCACCGTCGTAGCACACATGTGTGCCTGTCTTCCATTCCCTGTTGCTCCCTCCTGCACTCTTGCTTAGTTTGTCACCTGTTCATAGTCTGCTTACTCACTCAGTTGTTACTCTTTTGCTGTTGTTGTGTTTACAGTTTGCATTTTGGATGATTAGTTGGGATTACCAAACATTTTTAAAGGAGACATTATCAATAAATATTTTTTTAATTCTAAATCATACCATTAGGGAACCCTGCCTGAATCTTTGCCAATCTGAAGGGAAACTCTAACAAAGGCAAGAAAAACTATGAGAAGAAATTGATCTAAGACTATTTTGATGAAAACAAACTTTGCCTTTTGGTTTCTGTCATATCTTGTGATATATGATAATTCGCATGATGTGCCCAATGTTTCCCCTGCATATTTTTCCTTCTGTCAGACTCCACCGACTTAAAAAGAGAGAGAAATGCAGTAGTAGGAAAGAATGGAATGGCAAATCACAAAACTGAGCCTGAAATTTCCCACCACCCCAGATCAGACATCAGTGATTGACACTATCATATGTTCACTGAAATCAATAGGTGTGATCATGGCATCTGTGGCCTGTGTCTGTGAGGTTGTTCTGTTCTCGCAGGAGTGCAGCCGAAGGAGCTGTGCAGCCCAGCCAGTCTGTTTCTCTCTTCCCCCCATTTCAGCCTACTAGGGATATAAGAATGACCCTGTAACAGCTGCTATGCTGTATGTCAGTCAGTACTAATGGTCTCATATCCACCGTTGGCTTCTCAGAGGACCAGAACCTTTCCAGAACCTGTCTTTCTGCTCCAGACTCCCCCTGAATGAAGTATGACAGCAGCCAGGTGAATGCACTGGGACAGCCAGAAGAGAACCTTGAGAAGGAAGTAGAGGGCTTGGTGTTTCCGCCCAGCCTGGGCATCTGGGCACCAGAACTGAGGGATGGATTCAGTGCTCAGGATTCAAAGTCCAAGAGGCACTCCACCACCAGAAAATCACAGCAGACAAGGGAAATGAGTTTCTAAAGCACAGAAGTAGATCCTAAACCACAAGATTAGAAACCTGGTGTGATTTTTAAAGGGATGATTTAGGGGGGCGCTTTTAGGACATATTAATGTGTAGTCTTCTGAGTGATCCAGACTGTTAGAAGGCTTATTTTATTTATTATTTTTTTAAGATAAGGATCTCGCTATGTTGTCCAGGCTGAACTCAAACTCCTGAGGCACAAGCAATCCTCCTGCCTCAGTCGCCCAAGTAGTTGGAACTACAAGTGCGTACCATCACACCAGGCTAAAGAGGCTTGTTTCTTAATGTTGCAGTTGGTGGTTCTGCCAGGATATACAAGAAAAAGTTGAATTTCTTTCTCCATTGATTCAGAAGGCAATCACATAACAGGGTCCTAGAAGTCTATACCATTTTCATTATTTAGCATATTAAATTTATTTTAAATCTTATTTCACCACAAAAAGCTCAAATTACTCATTTAAAAAGCTCAAATTACTCATTTTATTCATTCTCCCTTCCCATTATCCTTTTCAAATTACTTCATAAGTAATAGACTTTTTAAAGTGAGACTTTCCTGGCTATACCACATACACACATATACATGCATGCACGCACATGCACTTCCAAATGTGGTTGATAATATCTAGATCCCCAGGTCATTGCTGAAACAAAACAAAAAGAGAGAGATTTAGGGGTCATCTGCTCTAAAGTTTAAGGTTTTTATTTTTTTAGTGCCTGAACAAATTGACCATAAAACTTGATTAGATTAGCCAGCATGGATTTGAATTGCCCAAGTTGAGGCTATTATGAAACTTCTTTACTTAAAAGATAAGTTTTAGGCCGAGCACAGTGTCTCACGCCTATAATCCCAACACTTTGGGAGGTGGAGGTGGGAGGATTGCCTGAGTCCACAGGTTGGAGACCAGCCTGGGCAACATGGCGAAACCTCATCTCTACAATAAGTCAAAAAAATTAGCTGGGCATGGTGGCACATGCCTGTAGTTCCAGCTATTTGGAAGACTGAGGCAGAAGGTTCACCTAAACCCAGCAGGTTGAGGCTGTGATGGCTGTGAGTGTGCTATTGCACTCCAGCCGGAGCATCAGAGTGAGACTCTGACTTAAAAAAAGTTTTGAGGTTTTCTTGATTTTTTTTTTTTTAGTTAGGAATCTCACTCTGTCACTCAGACTGTAGTGCATTGGTGCCATCACGGTTCACTGCAGCCTCAACCCCCTGGCCTCAGTCTTCCAAGTAGCTGGTGCATGCCACCATGCCTAGCTAAGTTCTTGATTTTTTTGTAGAGATGAGGTCTTGCTATGTTGCCCAGCTGGCTTCAAACTTCTGTCCTCTAGCAGTCCTCCTGCCTCAGCCTCCCAAAGTGCTGAAGGTTACAGGCATGAGCTACATCTTCTGGCCAAAAGATAAGTTTAAAAGACCCTATTCACCCGTTCATGAAGATCTTGGAAATGCTATTTTTCTACTAGAAGGGTATGCAGGAAGTCCCTAACATACAAACAAGTTCTGTTCTGAGAGCGCCTAAGTCCAATTGATTTAAGTTCAACACAGCCTAGGTACCCAACTAACACAATTGACTGTATAGTACCATATGTATTTAATGGACTGTACTGACACCTGGTGGAGAGAAATAATACATAAACCACAGGTGGGCATTGTTAAAATGTGTAACTTGAAGGTTCATATGTAGGGGACTTACTATGCTCATACTGGTCCTTGTGGATTTGTCCAGGTGATCCCTGCTGTTAAGCCAAATTCCAGCCTGTCTGAGCCAAGAACAGTCAAGTGAGAGAGAACAAAGACCCAGGGGTGTGCAGCACTGGCTTGTAATGGGGCCAGGCAGGAGCCTTGTTCCTTTCTCAAGAAAACTTGGCCCTTCAAGCTTGGAAGGAAATCCATTTTTATGCTAATTTGCAGTCTACGCCAGCTGATGAATACACTAGGACTTTGAGAACACAGAACATGGTAAGTCTTGTTCAGGTAAAAGCGTTCTGACACCTGAACATAATGCTTACTGTCTCAGCATCTGGAATATTTTAGAAAATTCAGTAAGGTTTGATGTATGGAAAATTCTTCTTAGGAAAAGTTTATTGGTCCTTTATTTATTTATTGAATTGGAGTCTCACTTTGTCACCCAGACTGGAGCTCAGTGATAAGCTCATGGCTGCTGCAGCCTCGACCTCCTGGGCTCAGGCATCCTTGCTCCTCAGTCTTCCAGTAGCTGGAACTACAGGTGTGTGCCACCACAGCTGACTAATTTTTTTATTTATTGTAAAGATGAGGTCTCACCAAGTTGTCCAGGCTGGTCTCAAACCTGTGGGCTCAGGCAGTCTTCTCGCCTCCACCTCCCAAAATGCTGGGATTACAAGCATGAGGCACCATGCCCGGCTTAATGGTCCATTTGTTTAACTTCATGGCCACTCCAGAATATGACTTTTATTATGAAAATACAGGGTGAACAGAGAGAAGAAATTTGGGATAAGAAGGTTACCCTCAAAGTTATCACCATAAATCTACACGTGGGCTCTGGAGAAGGTTCTTGAACATCCAGATCATCTCTTCTGAGCAGTCTTTCCCCTAATCTTCCTTATATTTTCCAGCATAGTTTGCTGCACCAGTATCTTTTACATCCTCTTCAGTGGCCCACTGGCTTTTTTCCCCACTGTTTTCCGCCATTTTCTTCCCACACTCACTCTTGCCCTCTACTGAAAACCTCCATCTCCCCTTCAGCAATGCTGCTGACTCCCACGTGTTCCTCTTGAGATCCTCACTAATCCAGGTCCTGTCGTGGGCAGCTTTACATTCAGCCACTGTCAGGTGCCCTGGGCCATTTTTCACTGGGTTATCTTTGATGTTTATTTACTGAATTTAGTTGAGTTTAAAAGCAAACTCTTGGATATTAGAAATAAGGGGATCTGGCCATAACCTTTCTTCCAATAATTGGTCTATGAAAGCACATTCTGCTTTGTGTAAAAATGTATTCTCCTATCCTGCTTTTATCTTTCCTGGAGGTAAAAGTATTCCTTACATGGTTTTTGTAAATTTCCACATTCATTAAGTGGATTTAGCAGATGTGAGAAATTTCACACCCTTGTGTCAAACCTTTTAGAGGGAAACTTGGTGAATAATTTTATGATGCTTTATTTTGGGCTTTCCAGGCTATTTGAATAGTTCAGTATAGCCATAATGCTTCAGTAGCCAAGTTCTCTTATTTCGTTTGACTGCCTTGTAAAATGCATTGTTACTGGTTTGATAGCCCACTAATGTCATGGGCGACTAAACAGAGCATGTGATGGAAGCTGCCTTGGTTCGAAGTTGTTAGGGAGTGTAAGTGTGTCACTGAAAGAAGAGAGAGGTTTCCTGTTTGCCTGTGTGGGCAGCATGTCCTTAGGCAGTGGTGTTGTTGG